TAAATAATTTCTTTGCCAGAATTGAGGCAAAGTTAATTCTGTCTTTATAAATAACTTTTTATGCTGGTGGTTTTTTGTGAATCTTTCAATATTTAATTAAATCACACAGTTTCTGGATCTTTCTTTTAAATATGTTTTACTTACGTATTTATCATTTTTAAACTTTTTTGTAAGTAGCTGTAAATCATTGAAAAACTAAAGAGAAGAATGGTTTTAGTTTTACAGTGTAGCTATTTTCTAACATCTAAGAAAAAGACCTCAGAGTTGCTTATTCAATATCAAGAGTTATCATTACCATGGATATCTCACATTATTATAAAAGAGGGATTTGGTATTGGGATGTTGTAAACTAGGTCTGAGCTCTTTATTTTCTGAAAGGAGTAGAGCACCTTTTGCTGAGGTGAACCTGAATGTTGTCAGACAGCTGCAGATCTCCCAGGTAACATTTCCTCAAGTGGAGTTTTTAAGAATGACTAAAATTTGTTCTCCCCCAAGCAGGGTGTTTACTTTGTGTCCAGTGTTCTCCAGATAATGTGCAGTGCTGCACTTACCTTTAGAATCAAGAAACTTCCTTGAGCATTGCTTTAACCTGTGGGCTTTATTGATTTGAGATGCAAAAAAACATTGTATGGCAAAACTTTGGTTATTATAACCAGATCTAAACAAGAAAGACTAACATCAGTTTTGACAACAAACAAAACCAGTTTTTGTTCTATCGGTTCTGTTTAAGAGATTCCAATTTCAAACCAAACACAACTTGTGGTTATTCTGTCAGATATTTATACAGCCACTGGGGCGCCATAGTTATGCACCGCATACATCATTGTATTTTTAAAATGTACTTAATGAACATTTTTTCTTTTCTGGTAACTACTTCATTGCCTTAAATGAATGCATTCCAATAGAATTTGTAACAAATGAGCACTTTGTGTTTGCATTAATGCCAAACACGTTTAACAAATTTTTAACAAGGAACACTGGCAAAAAGCCAAACTCCTAGAGGGACACTGAAGGAATGCTATAAATTTAAACTAGATTTTACCTTTTCACTCTGCTCAACAAGTGTCTTAGGTGTCTTTGGCATCTCAGCGTTGAAAATTTTCTACGCAGGTTGGATACAAATTTATGCCTTAATTATTTTTCTTCTTGGCCCTCCTCACTAGAGATTTCCATGTCGATATAACAAGCTTTAACAGGTTACTGTATTCTTTAGAGAGTGAGAGGTGGGTTTTCTTTCTTTCCTCAAGAGTTAGGCCAGGAGGAAGTAGCAAAGCCAGCATTTATTGTTGGGCTGTAATGACAGGGAGGTTCAAACAGCACATGTCGTGCCATTGTCACATCCTGTGTAAGGGACCTCTGCAGTGGCGAGCCCTGCAGCAGATCTGTGCTACCCAATTTTGCTGCTTGTGCTGAGTTGCAAATATCTGGGCTGTGATCGTGTTTGCAACTGCACTTCAGGGGCAGGGGAAACAGCCCACAGGGCTCCCCCTGGCCCCAGCTCTGAGCTCACACAGAAGCCACGAACAGATTTTTGGCTGAATCAAACTTCTGGGGGGTTTTTCAGTTGTTAAGTTATGCCCACATGGTACATGTCAGTACAGACCTTGGGAATCACCTGCTCTGTAATACATGTTCGTATTAAAAGTGTTACAAGTAGCTCCACAAACCACATGCTTGCTCTTTACTTGTAACTTAATATATTAATTTAATTTTTACTGTGTTATTTCAGTTTTAATCAAATGCAGGAACTGAAAAATAATAATACTTAGCACTCATCCAAGACTTTTTAGGCCCATTACAAACATTAAGCCTTGCAAATTCCTGTGAGGAGCCTGATGTTATGCCTGCTGTAGCAAAGAGCAAATTAAGCACAGAAAAATGATATGACTTTTTCCTTAGTCCCACAATAGATTGGCAGCAGGGGCAGAATTTAGAGTGTCAGGGCTTTTTCTTAGTTAATAGAGTCATTCTTTTCATGGTTTTGCACAAAGGTAAAAATTGAGAATGCTTTTTTTTTCCTCCCTCCTATAATTTACATGATGTTGTTGCAAGAGGCATAGGCAAATTCCAGGACATCACTTGAGAAAGACTTGATGAGTTATAGCCTTATTCCAGCCTAGTTACTTGTTTCCAGAAAATGAAATAATTTCCCATCATTTGTTGGTACTCTGATTGCAGTAATGATGAATGAGTCTGGAGAAGGAAACTGAGGAATTCATCCTGACAGCTTTTTCAAGGATGTCACATTATAGTGCAGATGCCTTGTCGTGGATTAGGGAACAGAAATAGCCCTCACAGGTTTTCATTAATGATATCCTTCCCTACTAACATTTGGTGAGATACCAGTTCCCTGCAATAAAGTGTCTATTCCCTCTCTTTCTTACTCACTAATTACCATATCAGTTGTTGGCCTTTTATGTAGGTACCATGTGTAACAGGTTAGGAGAGGGCAATTTAAGCCTATGTGAATGGGTATCTGTTTTTGTATCTGGGTGCTTGTTGCAAACATTTGGAAAGCATATGGAGCATAATGGACATTAACCCAGATGTCAAAAATAGCCTGCATTTTACTACTGTTATTAAACAGTTTCCCCTTTAACCCCTTTGTGTTTACCCACCCTCTCCAGCTTGTTTCTGCAAATCACTGCTGAGAGGAAAGGATTGGAGGTAAAAAGTACTAATCAGGCAGGTGTCTTTATCCAAAGGAAAAACAATCTGAACAAAGCTTTGTGGGCTACTACACTTTTATATCTTCACATCCTTCTGTTTTCATTGACTGGTATCTAATGGACTGACAGAGGTGCCAAACTCATAAGACATTAATATCAGCTGGAGCACTGCTGAATTGCATGCAATTGCCCAATGCATGTTACCAAACTTTATTTCTGTTTTAGAGGTTCAGTGACTTTTACCAAGTGCAGCATTGAAGAAACAAATATAAATTTAATTTACTCAACCTCAGTTGGTATTTGACAGCAATATCCTTTTATATATTTATTTGACTTACTTGAGAAATACTTTGCATTTCCTACCTGTGGCCAACAAGTTTTTGTTACACTTCCAATACATATATGGTTTCCTGATGAATGGGTGGGTTGATTAAGTGGGTGAGGTTTATTTGGGGGCTTTCATTCTGTAGTAAAACCCCAATGAAAATCTGAGGAGAAGGCTGGAGAGGGAGTGCATTTTGTGCTTTGCTGCTGTTCCTCAGATTGGACACTTTATTCTGGGTTCTTATTTTTTCCAAGCATAAAAGTGTTAATTGCAGAGGAATTTCAGCTTGGAAAATAGCAACTACATTGAAGATTTGCTGTGATTACATTTTAGTTTAAAAACCTAGGCATTATTGTGCTGCAGTTTCTGGAATGCGCTTTCCTCATTAATTTATAGGTGTGCTTCCTCTGCCCCAGTATCTCTGTGAATGATGATTAAGAAATTCTCAGCACACAAAAGAATGGGAGCTATGCACAGTTCACCAACGTAATGCATGCGCTGACTTACAGTTTTCATAAAAAGTTTGCAACGATTTTATGTGCCAGAACTAGTAACATGATCTACTTTAGGAACTCCCTGGCTTTCCAGCTCTGCAGAAGTCATTTTTAGGCTGTTCAAGGGCCAGATCCAAAACTTGTTAAAATCGGTGGGAACCTTTCCATATTTCAGTGGGTTTTGGATTAGTCCCTGAGTGTTCTGACCAGAAGCATTGTACCAACTGCTCACTGCAAAAGTAAAATTCATCTACATTTGTATGACATAAGCTGTTATGTGTGCTTTCCAGCAAGATGGGAAGTTGAAAATAGGGATTTAAAATAATATAATAATTTATTCTGTAAACAGTGTTTCACTTTACTCACAGAATAATTTATCTGATAAATATTAGATTCTGAAATTATTAAGGAGAATTTTAGCCAAGTAGCTTTATTTGAAAAAACCCAACTTTTCAGCTGTATACAAAACCCTAAGCATTGTATAACAATTTCTCTTTCATAAAATGGGATGTTTTGGAAACTTTTAAGGTTATATAAATGGAAGGGCAATAATGGAGAATCCCATACATAATGCATTTCAAGTTTTCTAGAAAAAAAAGTCAGTGAATAAATTAACAATTCCCCTCTAAAGGAATCATTTGATTCCTCCCACTCAACTGATATACAGATAATGTGAATGAGACCAATTCACTGCTCTCTGTTCAAGCATACCCTGCTGTTTGCTTGCAGCACAGCTAAAGAAACAACAGGAATCACTGAGCCTCTCTCTGTAGTCCCAATCAGACAGAGTCCCATCCAAAGCTGGTGGAAGGCAGGAAGATTCTTCCCGCTGGCTGAGCTGTGCTGACACCAGCTCCCTCCTGCAGCCCCCTGGATTTCAGCAGTGCCAGCCCAGCCAGGCAGAGCACCTGTGATTGTGGCTGTGGGGCTGAAAACCTCCTAACACATTGCTGTGTGTTCTAACTTCTGCAAATCTGAGCTTCTTATGGACACCATAAAACCTTTCTCCACTGTTCTGCAAATTGAAGTGAGATCAAAGTGCTTAAAATATGACAGGAAAATGGTGCTTCAATTTCGGAGGGCTGGTAGAGGTGCTGCACATTCCCACCTGCCACAGAACTGTGTGGAAATAAACCAATGATTCCCTTGGTTCCCACGGAAAAATATTTAATTTTCTTAATAGCATTTCCCTTTCAAAGCTACTGTGCTTATAGACAAGATCATAAAACTCACTGTTTACAGAATCACAAGCACAAGAGAATTTGACATCTTAGGAATTTAAAATATTTCCCATGTAGAGAGAGTCGTGTCATACAAATTAGCAATAAAACTAATTGCCACCCTATGAACATAAGTGGGTTCAAATTGAATTTAAATGCCTTACTTAATCCTCAGCCCCTAGAAAAGCATTATCTCCACTCATATGTATGAGAATCTTGATTAGATGAGAACTAAGATGCTCTGGATGCTTCAGTCATGTTGTTAATTGGATTTTTTTCCCCCTTGTTACAGTTGTCAGAGGAACTAGAGAAAAAGGAAGAAAAAACTGTGGCACTGGAAGGTAACAATGATAATCTATTGCATTGGATCTCCAAACATGACCATGATATCCTGGAGAAGATCACAGATGCAGAAAATGAATGCTAAGGTTGATATCTAATGAAATGCTGCATTAATTAGCATTTTGTCCATTATTTCTTGTAGTCTATTGTGAAATTAGATACTTTGGAAAGTAATGAAGGAGACTCAAGCAGAAATTATAACAGCTTCATTTCTGTCTTTAATGGGTCTTGTGAGTTAATCTGTTTTTACAAAGAAACCATCTGTTCAGAATATAGTTGTTTCATGAAGTTCAGTTAAACAGGTTATTTAGCAAATTTTTGGTAAATTAATATTGATTTTAATAGGTAATTCAGATTCCCTAGATGTGGCATCTGCATTTGCTGATTTTACCTAGTCTATTCTAAAGTATCACTTCTATTGCACTAGATTATCAAAGAGGTATTAGTAAAATGCTATATAAGGGTGTTGGCATTAACTTTACCCCCAGTTAGATACAGGCTTTTCCAAAATATAAAAACAAGCCTTTACCCTCCTCTGTTTTCTTTTCTCTACTGATAAAATAATATAAATTAAAAACAAACCAAAACCAAATATTGATACTATAACCGGTATTAAGCTCTGGGCCAGGTTGGAAATGAAATCAATTTTTGGTACTAATAACTGTTGACAAAGCTTAGTTTTATGAAAATATGGTGTGTGTCTCTGACAATGCATAGGACATCTAATTTGAACATAAATATATGATTATATACAAGATGCATCTATTCCTGGATGGTAAAAGCTTGAGGTGTATATAAATAAATGTGTGTGTGTATATATGAACATGTACACAAGGATGTATCAACCTCTTACCATCCAAATGCATACATGTTTTCAACAATAAAAGCTGGGACTCTTAAAGAAACAAACAAAAACAAAAATAAATATGAGATTGCTGTGAATACAGTATATGCACTAGGTCTCCTGTAAATGTGGAACTGTTTGTTATTGTTCTCTGCATTGAAAAACAGTCTCCAACACAGACCCCAATGAATCTTAGATGTTAAAGAAAATACCAATGAACAAACAGCACTTGAAGGCTGTTTGTGTCAACAAAATGTGTCTAGTTAAATAAATTCAAAGCACATGCAAGGAAAAATAAAAATGTGAAGTCGTTCCATTCAGTGAGAAACTCTTAACTGACAGTCAGATCTCTCTCTTCTCAAGAAGAGGTTCCTTCTGACTCCACAAACATTTTCAGTCAGTCTGGCAAACATGTGCAAATGTTTGGCTGTTTTGTTGAGGCATCTTTTTGTCCATGGAAGAAATGCTTCCATGCTGATGGCAGTGGAAATAGAATATCTGCATTTTTAAAGGACAAACAATAAATTTAAGCATGGGTGGCCTTAATCCTTAGTAGTTTTTCTTTGCTGCTGTTAAAAAAAAAAAAAAGGAAAAAAAAAAAAAAAGAAATGGATACTCCTAAAGTCTTGCACTGAATTTAGAAAAATTTTTTTTTGAACCTGTGGTGCGATTAACCCTAAACATCCTACATGAGCCATACATAGTAATCCCCTTAAAATTATTGTCTAGAAATGATATTTTATTTATTTGTACCATGATTCTCGGTGCAATCAAGGAGCAATTTATTTGAGCAGGAGTCCTGCTGGATGTGACTGTCTTCAGTAAATAGAATAAAATGTATAGAATTAGCATAGCGTAGATAATCCCAATTTCATTCATGTTTAAACAGTTTGTCCTTTAACTATCAACGGCATTTTAGATCTTTGTTTTTGAAACAGCAAAGCTTTTGGGAGTATATTTAGCACATATGACAAATGTTGCACTTGGAAACTCGGACAACAAAACAGGTTTCTGATGACAGATTTGTTGTCGCAGTAGGGGACAATCGTCTGTGTCTCTTACAATCAGGTCTTTACCTTAACTCTGCAACTGAATACTTGAAGTAGGATATAAACTAGGGGGGAACTAGGGTCACAGATACAAAGCTGTATAGTTAGATATTTATATGTATGTGCCAATTTTGTCACAGATATTAATTTAGGGGCATTTTTGCTCCACTCATGTTGGTATGAGTATTGATCTAAACTTTTATCAGGGCCTAAAAGTTAGCCCCTAAAGAGGAAAATTTTGTCTAACATTGATTTTTTTTTTCTTCTTGCTTTGTTTTTGTTGGGTTTTTTTCCTCCTTCTTTTCATTTCATGTGATATTCTATGATGTTTGGAGAAAATCTTTTCATATCCTAAAATAGAATCTCGGGGTTTACAATAAACACTGTGATGTTGGGAAATATTTTATTTGAGCAATGTTTGGTAGATTTTTTTTCCCCCCCCTCCTCTGAGTGTAATGAAGCAAACCAACTTTTGCTTAACATTTAAGATAATGGTTATTATTTTAATGTGAGATCAGTCTTGTACTGCACATTCTTTCTTTCATTTAAATGTACAGTATGAATTTTGTATTTAATGAATTTTGTGTATCCAGTATGCACGTACCTGCACATTGACTTTCATTTGAAAGTGGGTTTCAATTTCCTTTTTAAACAGTGTTTATGAAAAGACCTCAGATGTGTTGACACAAACTATATCCGCAATGTTTCTTTTGTGTGTGTAGGGTGACGTTTGAATGTGATGTTCTGCAGCAATGGGTCAGTATCCCCTATTTACCTTAGATCCTCATTTGATAGTGCTTCTTGTAATAATTTTTTCAAGTGAGTGGCATGTTCTGGATTGTGATATTGATATATGGTTAAGGACATTGATATGAAACTAAGGAATTCCTAGAAATTACCAGTGGGCATGTATTAGACAGTCATTGTAATTTAATGTCTTGTAGAAGTGTAAAGTACCAAGGTATTTAGAGTTCATAACATTGTTATCATGTGTATGGGAAGTATTTAGTGTTGATCAGCTTGTTTATTTTCATCAAATAAACTTTGTTTCTTTCTGAAATCAGTGTTGTGTCATTAAAAGCAGGTTTAATGACTGTAGGAAAATGTGTGAGAGATGTTTTCCACATGGTAAATCTATCACACTCCTTATTTCTCTAATTGCTACCATTCAAAGTAATTTATCTTCCTGTTGTTACTATCACATAAACTGTTTAAGAAAGCATAAAAAGGAAAATGTCTCATAGGCCCCACTCCCAGAAATGCTTACAAGCAACTTTACTAAAGTGAGGAACCATTTTCTGGATGGGGCTCTTACAGAGCAATATGCTTTTGAGTGGGTTTCTAAAACATAATATTCTTGTGTGACCCTGTGTAATTGCATAGAAAATTACATTTTGTTTATGTGCTTTACTGACCAAAAGCCATAAGGTGTGAAATTCTCTGCACAGTCAGCTCCTTTTTCAGCTGCCTGGTAAGTGGTTCCCCGTTTCCATTATGTTCACTTTTTTTAGAAAAGGAACTTTTGTTGACCAGGAATTTCTTACCTCATAGAAGTCCCTGGACCAGCTCAGGGCACACACAGCAGGAGAATAAAAGGCAAGTAAGTATGCATTTTACTTAGCTTATTTAAACCACACAGACTCTTAGTTTTAAGCTCTGTTTCTTTACCTATAAATTAGTTTTCTTTCGTAAGAGAGTACTATGCACTAAGATAGGATATTAAGTTTCACTTTTAACTACAGCTAAATATACATTTATTGTGTATTCTATTTATGCCTACTTAGCTTTGAGCTGCAATGGTACAAATTGATTAGCAGTAGCTTCTATCTTTTTTCCAGACCTGATAAATTATTTGGTGCAGCCTGTTCTGTGTTCTGCTGGTGTATCAGGAGGCTGCCCATCCCATTGGAGACATATTTTTGATGCTGTTTTCAATATTGATCACTTTAAAGGCAGCTCCTGCTTTCCCACCTGGTGACAGGGACAGCACATGCCAATGTGTGTTACTGAGGAGCTGGAGGGGACCACAGTGGCTTTGGGGAAACTGTCAAAGGCCCTTGCAGCCTATTTTCTGTAAGATGGTTTTCTGTAAGGATCTTTCCTCTGTAAAAAGCACCTTTGAGGGCCCCAGGGGAGGGGCAGGACCAGCATGTTTGTGTCTGTGGGTGCTGCAGAGGTGGGGAGCTCCCCACAGGACAACTCTGGGTGCAGGAACATCCACACTAATGTTGAAGTTTGAGTTCATACAGTCAAGAGCTCGTCCAGCTCTGAGAGAGCCTGATTAAGGATCAGGCTTTTCTGAGCTTGAGGTTTCCTCCTCAGAGAGGCTGTTTGTTCACTTGAGCCAGAGTAGCTCCAGGTTTGAGCAAGCTCAAGTATAAGCAGTGGGAGATGCTCAGGGGATGAAGCTGTGTCAGCTTGCATTTCAAGCCAACATCTCAGTTAAGACACATTTTGAGAGGCCCAAAAGCTCCATCCCAGCACGAGTTGGACAAAGCTGAACTCCCACTGAATCTCAAGGTTGTTCACACTGTGCTCAAGGTCCAGGATTTGTTCCTGGAAAAGCCTCACTCACCAGCACACACTCTGGGTCTGCCCTGTGCAGAAACCTGTCAGGAAGTACAGAACAGAGCAGCAAAGCAGGGTGTGTCACCTGTTGATATTCCCTGTCCAAACCATGAAACTTTTAATAACCAAAGTATTAAATCATTCTAAATAAAGCCAAGTGAGCTCTAAATAAGTAATGCATTTCCCATTATGGAGCCAGTGGGAGCTCTGCACGTCGCCAGGGCATGATTTGACCCTGATGGATGAAAAATACAGCTGATGAGGGGCTGCTGTGCAGACTTTCCTCCTGTGAGATTTCTGTGATGTTATTTCAGGCTCATAACTTTCCAAATAAGATATCTCTTTTTCAAATGCACCTTTTCAAACAAGAGGCAACCTCTGCCTTCATGAGGAATTGCCCAGGGCACATTGTTTTAGCTTTTGTATGAGGCTGCAGGCACTGGTGCACTAGAAGCCCACCCTTGACGGATGCAGTTGCAGAATCAAGGACTAACTAATTATTTGTTTGGGTTTGCATTCCTTCCAGTCTTTGCTCTTGAAAATGACTCTTTCTTCAGAATGAGACAGTTCTAACCCCAAATCTCCACAGATGCAGGGGAAGAGCAGGCACAATGCCAGTGCATCCTAAAGACAATGCCTCGTATCCCTTTGAAACGTGCACTTGAGTCTGTGTTGCAGACAGTTGTCTATTCCCACGAAGCTCTGAGTCTCAGGACTCGCAGGAGAACTTTGAACTCATGCAGTTTGAAATGGAGGCCAGTGTCCAGCTTTCAAAGGGCTGTGCTTTTGGTGCTCACCCCAGCAAGGCCAGGAGACAGCAGATGTTCTGGCAGCTGCAGCTGCCGTGCACTCGGGGAGCTGGGGCTGGAGGAGAGCAGCCAAGCTCCCTCCAGATGGAGCAGACGGGGAAGAGGCGAGTGGGAGGCTGCTCAAGGAAGTCAGATAGCTCCAGATAGCACTGCACTGATGATATGTGGCTCCAGAGCACCTCACCAGCTTGGCAGAGGTTGCACAACAGAAATCAGCACCAAAGCACAGCTAACCTGGGCTCAGTGAGAAGCCTTCTTGCCGTGGGAAAATCGATAGGGAGGAAATATCTGTGCAGAGCACATGATAATGGAGCTTGGTAACTACCTTTTTATTTGAATGTAATTTGGACAAATGCATTACTCATAAGTGAGTTATCCAGGGCTTGCCAAATATGTGGTTAAACAGTTATTATAGCAAATTACACCATCATCTAAACACCTCTGTTTTGGCTCTTAGTTGTCTCCTTTTGCAATGAAGTTGAATTTTTTCTCTTGATTGTTGTCTAATATTGCTGCTTTACTGTTTTGGTTACCATAGGAATAAATAATGACACAAACAACAACAAGTGAATAAGAGCATTTTCTGAATTTCACAAGTAGAACACCCTTGTTAATGAAGACCTCTATGGTTGCATAGTTCTTAACATAGTTTTCATGTCTATTGATTCATGTCCTCATATGCATTTTATTATGGGCTTTATATTTCATTTTAAACTTCCAAAAATAAAGAAAAACAGCTGAAGTACTTTTTTTTTTTTTTTTTAATGGCCAGATTTTGGTTAGAGGTTAACACGGGCCAAAAGAGAACACAGATCTGCCCCCAAGCTCTTGCAGTTTTGTTTTGTTTTAATAAAAAATCCTTATTACAATCCACAAAGGGTCACAAAAATGCAGCCATTGCAGACCAGGCGTGTTCCTTGTGCAGCTCTCCTACCCTCTGCACCTTCTCCAGGCTCAGATCAACCAAATGTGTGAGGGCAGCACTGTTGTCAGTCATGATAAGGGTGTGCATTAAGGGGCTAATCCAAACTTTACTGAAGTGAAATGAAAGTCCATTGATTAAAAGTAAATTTCTGATTGTAACCTACTTTCTTCTTTCTGAAGCAAATGTGTACATTTACAGGAGCATGGGGCCAAACTGTTTCCTCTATAGATCAAAATTCCAGCTAAATGTAAGTCAGAT